GCAACCGTGAAGGAGAAGGCTAAGGTCAAACAGAATTTCTTGGCCATGAGTTCAAGCTTCTTATCCTTTGTCAGAAGGGGTGGTATGTTTCTTCTGAAATAACTTTGACCATGCTGCTTCAACAATAACAGAATTTGGCTTTGTATGGTGAAAAAGCAATTCTGAACAAGACTCCTGTACACAATACAGAACACCAATTTTCTTTGAGGTGGGCTGTATCATAGAAGAGGTGGAACAAGACCTAGAAGCTACCTTGAGCAAAGAGGGAAGCAGCAGGATGGAAACCATGGTTGGTACTTTGCTCTGAATCCTCTTATAAACAGATTCTCTGTTGGTTTCATCTCCAGTTATAGCGCCCATGCCATCTGCAACATCTGTTCCACAAAAGCATGAACATCATTAGTCAGGGAAACAGAGTCATGTTCCCCCAGAACTCTATCCATTATGCTAGTGCATAGGTGGCATATCCAAAAAAGTAGAGGAAGAGTCTGAGTTGGAATCTTCCAATGTTAAGAAATGTTGAGTGATAAGAGGACATGCAGACGTTGCTTGAGTCAATTGTTGAGCCTGAGGAGGATCTGGTGGAGGCAATTTGTTAACATCAGGTTCAACAGTCTGAACTGTTGGGTGCAAACATTAGGAAGAAGGACTCAAATAATGTTCAGCCCAATCAGATCTTCCTGAGACTGATTTGCTAACCTTTCACTTTTTTAGTGGGTGAGGTGTGCTTTGCAGTTACTGGATCTGAGCACAGGCACAATCTACAGCGGCAAATGCATTGATGGGAGTGCACACTAAGGCGGAAGAGATGCCTATGCTCATAATTAGGTAGGTGGTATTAAGCACTGTGGGAGACATATGGCCATGGTACAGTTCTTCGTAGTAAGATTTTGACAAGGGAGAACAATCATACCAACCATATGAAGAGTGGTATACTGATATCAGCTGTGCTCTCTCCACCAATACAACTCAACCACATTCATCCCAATAGCTGATCCGTTGGTACTGACAACTGGATGATGATCTGCCCTGCGGGAATGAGACCACCAAGATGAAGAGGATGAGTCAGCTGAAGTATGTCAATGGTAACTGATGATGCCAAGGAGGAAATGATATGGGAGACAACGGCCCTCTCTGGAATACGTACTGGTGATTTCACTCCAAGAGCAGAAGGAACTGAAGTAGCAGATCTCCTGTGTTGTGCCAAAGGGGAGTCAATTATTTCTCCCTCTGAAGAAGTCTCCATGTGAACAAGTTGAGGAGTGAAATGCTCTGCATTTGCAGGGATCTGTACCAATAGCTCATCCTGTCTTGCCAAATCTGTCAGAGATGGCTGCACAACTCTGTACTGGAACAGACAGAACAGAAGATGAAACTATTGGCGAGCCCTTCACATGCTCTGATCTCTTCTTCTTATGCCATTTTTTCCGGTATTGTGTTTGTAGGTTGACATAGAAGTTTCAAAGTCAAGAAGACAATCCAGTGTCAATGGCACAACAGGTCAAGTCTTGACTTCAACCGATTCAATGAGCTTTTGAGCAAACAGCATTGTCAGATGCAGGGCATTTAGAACTTTTCTTTGGCTTGTTGGTACAGTTCCAAGTATCTTGTAAGGACTTCTTAACTGCCACATTGACCAAAGAGCCAGGCACACTTGGAGCCAGTACAGAACAAGGCAGAAGGCATTCAGGGTTGAGCCAGAGGACTTTCTGGAGACCGTCAGGGTTTGTTCATACAAAAGTGCCTTGAGCATAGACAAGAGATTCTTATGTGTCTGTGAATTGAATGTCTTGCAGTGACTACAAGACCACATTATGACCCTCACCCTCACAAGAGACAGTGACAGGCCATCCCACTCAGGTATTTTTGCCCCACAAAAGGTGCATTTCTTAAAAGAATTGGTTAAAATCATAGTAGGCCACTGGAAAACTGAACCACAAGGATGAAAAAGTTAATCAGACAGTCTTGAGTTCAAGTCAAAAGGCAGAGTCCAAGTCATAAGCAAAAAGGAGAGTTGAAAACCAAAACTGAATATTGTGGAGAACAGGCAGAATTGTGCCAGCCCTAGCAAAGCCAATAGAACGTGAGCTGGCTCCAGCCAATCAAAGTGAAGGCTGGAGGAGATAAATAGTGCTGTTGGTGAGAGAGAGAGATAGGGCTGGTAATGGTCAGAGTTCGGTTGGGAGCGTCTTGATATACATCCAGAACTCAGAGAGAGAGAGAGAGTTGCTGGAGTGTAATATCCTGAGGGATATAGCTAGCCAAGTGGCTAGTGGAGAATTAGGTTAAGGAAAGTAACCTAATACTAGGACGGTGTGGGTCCTGGGTATAATAATAATAATAAGAATAAGAATAAGAATAAGAATAAGAATAAGAATAATAATAAGAAGAAGAAGTTTTATTTATAACCCGCCCCTCTGCTCGGCACTCTAACTAATAATCACTGGAGAGAGTTTGGGGAAGTAACTGAAACTGTAACTGAATAGAACTAAGAAAGTAATAACTTAAAGCAACCAACATATTCACCATCTCAACATGCAAAACTTTGTTTAAAGCATTTTACAAATAAAGTTTATTCCTGTTTTGAATAAAGGCTTGTTTGGCACTTGAGTAATTTACCAGGCTACTGACATTTACAAATAGGAAAACAGTTTCACACCTAGTTGGTGTTTACGAGTAGAGTAGTCACAAAGAGGTGATAGGGTTACAATTAAACAAGAAAGATAGTTTAAAAAGAAAGCAGTATCAGTGTGTTTATGACAAATTGGTGGGAAGCGAAGGGATCAGGTGCTGTCATTCAAGAAAGATAGTTTTAAAAACCCAAGAAGTTTCAGTGGTTCTCTTGACAAATATCAACTAGAAAATCTACGAGCACTCAGTCCAAATCACTATCTGAAACGCAAAACCAAGAAAAGTCCGAGTCAAAATGTAACAAGAACAGATCAGAACAATTCCTTCAGTGCTGCTGACAGACAAAAAGAAGGTGTCCAGAGAGTGGGGTTACCATCAAAAAGCTTATACAACAGCTCTAAAAGGTTCTGAACAATGTACTGCAAAGATGCAGATAACCCATTTGTGTGAGTCAGAGTCCACAAAGAACAAGTGCTTACTCAATATGCTACATTATAGGTGTATGTCACACAGCAACTGAGGGCTGGCATGAAGGCCAGCTGCTCAGAACCCCCAAGATCCACCACCCCTGCCAGCCCATCCCCACCCACCAAAGCAGCCAAGAGGCTGCACAGAGACTGAGAGCTGGCAAGGAGGCTGGCCACTGGAGATCCGCTGCCTCCACTAATGTTGACCACCAGAATGGCCAGGAGGCTGAACAGGAATTGAGGGCCAGCAAGGAGGCCAGCTACCTGAAATCTGCTGTCCCGTCATCCACCACCAGAGCAGCCAGGAGGCTGCACTGGGACTGAAGGCCAGCAGGGAGGCCAGCCACCAGAAATCCACCAGCTCTGCTCCTACCCCGCTGTCAACTACCAGAGTGGCCAGAGTCCAAAGAGAGAGGGCTGCCGCCAGGATGCCCATCAGAAATATTGCATCTGGCAGAAAGAGAGGGTGGCCAGGGCAAGATCAACCACGCAATCATCTTCAGTGACACCAATGCCAAAACATAATGCAGGTGAAGGGAGAAACTAAAAGGGGAAAGACACAAGGAAGAAGCAATAGGGAAAGTAACTTTACAGGAATTAAAGGGGGGTATATTAGGGGAAGGATTGGTGAGAAAAGACTGAAAGTGTTGGGGGGGGGGTTGACAAATCAATCTAGAGCAATGGAATGCATGAAACAAAGCAGCAATGGTGTCGATGATACTGATTTAGGATCTCACCATGGAAGCCATGGATGGAACAGCAACAAACACTGTTCATAAACACTTCCTAACTAAAGATTACTTACCCAACTGCCTAAGATTAGGTAGCATGTGTATAACAAAAAGACGGTAATCTGATTCATTTTTAACAACAGGATTCAGCCTGAGATCCACATCCTTGAGAGCTGTTAAACTGTGGAGTCGAAATACTTCTGACAATGAGGAGACATGATTGAAATAGAGATTGAGCTTTTCTAAGGATGTGAGATGTTGCAGACCCTATTAACAAATAAAAGATTAGAAAGAAATTATTTACTTCCACCTTGCTACCTGGTGGCACAGTGGTTAAATGCCTGTACTGCACCCACTCAATCACAAACCACAAGGTTGTGAGTTCAATACCAGCCTGGGGCTCAGGGTCAACTCAGCCTTGTATCCTTTCAAGATTGCTAAAATAAGTACCCAGCTTGTTGAGGGCAGTTAGCTTACACATTGTAAACTGCGTAGGGAGTGCTTAAGTGCACTGATAAGAAGTATAGAAATGTACTTACTTGCTATTGCTACCTCAGTAAACTGTATTTACTCTGACTAGGGTAAATTAAAGTAATTCCTATATTGTCTGGTTCTCAGTGTCTAACCACTGTCAGATACAGTGAGCAAGTCAACTGAGGTTGCCTTATAGCAAGATAGGCTGTTGGCAAGTCCATCTCAGTTCTGTTTAATTTAACTGGTAGTCCTATCATTCCCAGACCTATGTTGTGAAATCCTTTGAAATGGAGAATACATGGAAGTGAACCTATGACTTCTGCATACAGAACATGTTTCTAACTCTGCACTACTATGTTACCATCTTAAGGGACTGAAATATCTTGGATGACCTTTGTTAAACAATTTTGTATTGTACATACCTATTCTAAAATTAATACTTTTTTAAAAAAAGAAGTTTCAAGCTGTTCCAAATCTTCAGGACAAGATAGAATAATTAATCCTGGAAGTAAGCCAGGAATTGTTGTACCTGCAAGTATACTAGGTGTACCACTGTTGTTGCTGTGTGCCTTTCCAACTTATGGTGACTCTAAGGCAAACTTATTACAAGGAAAGATTTATTTAGAGGGGGGTTGCCTTTGCTTTCCTCTGACGCTGAGAGTGTGAGACTTGCCCAAGGTCACCCAGTTAGCTTCTGTGGCTGAGTGGAGATTCGAACCCTAAACTCCCAGAGTCCAAGTCTAACACTCAAACCACTATACCATGCTGGCTCCAAAGCTATTCAAATAAGTCATGTTGTGGATTTTCTGGGTGCCTCTACTGGCAACCGATGGCTACAGGATAGGCATCCTCAGTGATGCTGCCAATGTTATAGAATGTCCTCCGCAGAGGTATGCCTCATGCCTATGCTCTGGGACTGTGAGTACTAATGAAATTCTTCGTGGCTTTTAATTCTTCGTGGCTTTTTATTCTTCGTGGCTTTTAAATCTTTCAATCTGAAAATGGGTTAGAGATTGTGGTCTCTACCAACGCAATAATTCTACCTTTATTTATTTATTTATTTATGAATTTATATCCTGCCCTTCTCCTGAGATGGGTATTCAAGGCCACTTACAATAATTTTAAAAAGATGAAGCTAAAATTGGAATTTACAAATTTAAAAAAACAATTGAATCACAATTTTTTTTAAAGGTTAGGAACAGTCAAAAACATTTAAAATATAATGATCAGTAAAAAAAAAATTAAAATATAGCACACCACTTCACACACACATACTACTGCTCAATAATTAAATTTCAAAGGCTTGCCTGAATAAAAATATCTTCATGTGATGGCGAAAAGAGAGTAGGGAGGAGGACAACCAGACCTCCCATGGAAGGGAGTTCCATAGGCTGGGAGCAGCCACTGAGAAGGGTCTCTCGTGAGCCCTTACCAAATGTGCCTGCCAAGTTGGTGGTAGTGAAAGAAAGCCTCCCCTGCAGATCTTAAAACTCAAACTGGGTTGTAAAAGGAGATAGGGTTTTTTAGATAGTCTAGATCAGGGGTAGGAAACCTTTCCCCTTTAAGGGCCAAGGGACTTCAACTCCCAGAATCCCAGGAGTTATTGGCCAACATGGGACTATTGGCCAACATGGCTGAGGCTTCTGGGAGCTGAAGTCCCTCGGCCCTTAAAGGGGAAAGGTTGCCTACCCCTGGTCTAGATCCAAGTCATGTAGGGCTTTAAATAGCATTTTGAATTCTGCCCCGAAACAGACCGGTAGCCAGTGAAGCTGTTTTAAAAAGTGGAGTCACATGATCCCTGTAAGCAGCCGCTGTCAACAGACTGGCCACCACAGTTTGGACCTGC